TATATATATATATATTGCTGAGTATTTTACAAAACAAAAGCAAGACACCAAGGGACAAAGGCAGCCAAAATATGTACAACAACTTTACTTTAAAAAAAATAAATAATTATTTATTGTAACGTGGATAGACTTTCTTGAGTCTTACCATTAAAGACACACAGATATAGCAAAGGAAGCAAGGGTAGGAAAGGGAAGAGAGAGGAATGAAATGAGTATCGATAAATAGCGCAAGCTCAAAGACAGTAAGACAGTTAGCAACCCACAACGAACCTAGTGAGCTGAAGTAACATAGAAACCCCTTAGATTCATAAATATCAAACTCCTGCCACTCCTAGCCGGACTCTGTCATAGAGGGAATTGCTAAAATAGAGGAAGAGAAGTCCTGTGGGTGGAAGGAAGGCAGGAAAACAACTACTAGAGGTTTGACCTAATTGAAATAAAAAGATGCCTCTGTTTCAGTATCTCAAATTCTCAAGACAAAAGGAAGAAATCATCGCTCATCTCATCACCAACTTCAGTGGAATTTGGGAATTTAGAGAGACTCTTTTTTATTTAATTAGCTCTTCATTCAGCCTAACTTTTTGGATTGCAAATAATGTCACATATGCTGGCGTACTTTAACCCCCAGTGGCCTGCTTCAGCAAGGTTGACTGTTTCTGTGACTTGTTTTACCTTTCCTATTGGAGTTTATTCAACACTGTTGAGAAATGTCATTAAGCCAAACTTGGGCATCTCAATGTAAGCAACTGAAGGTGAAGTAATGTTAAAACTCACTGTAATGATTTCACAGTTATCTAGGTTATTTCAGGCAGCTCAGAGTAAAAACCAAAGGAGGAAAATCAGAGCTACACACCTTGCATTTTAGAATTTACTACAGAATTTGTCTTTTAATATGTATGCTATGAAATTGCTGGGAAGTACTGAATGAATTTTGGGTTCCCACTCCCTCCTTCCTTTCCTCAGGTAACTTTTAAACATGTTTTAAAACATGTTAAATAACAGGCTGCAAACAGCATTCTAAGCTGTCAGCAGCACTAATATTGTCCTTTTCCCTCCCTTCCTCCACATCAAACATGCTGGAGATGATCCTCAGTTGGTGTAAACATAGTAATTATTGTGGATGACAAATTGCCTTTACACCAGCTAAAGATCTCTCTCCTTGTCTTCTCCTTCACTTCATCATTAAAAAACCAACTTAGACTTGTGCTATTCTGTGCAGCTAAAAGCTGAGTGATCCAGTTCACCAGGATGGTTAGAGCTGCCTCTCTGCATAACCACTGACCAAACTCCTGCGCTCTCTGAGGAAGCTTTGGCTTGTGCGATACCCCGCTGTCCGTTAGAAGAGCATGAGCTATAACACAGTATGTATGACCCGCCTCCCAAATAACACGTTATTAGGGAACAGAAAAAGGGATCGGTGTGTAATGCTGAGCAGCTAAGGATGTGCGTAGATACCAAAGTGCCACTCACTGTTCTTCGTTGTGACCATTATAAATTCAGGAAATGTAGCAGGGGTTTGTTTGTTTTTCCTGGAACAGACTTGGTGTCATGGAGAGCTGCATCTTTTTCTAAGGATTTATATAACTGCTTTTGAAAAGCCCACATTTTCCTAAAGACATTGTGGCACTTAGCCAATGAGCTTTCCATGCATATATTGCAGAAAGACAGTAAATTTTGTAACTTGGGACCATTTATTGAACAGCACAGTTTACAAATGGATGCCCCAGTCACCCAGGACAAATCTCCTGGTATTTAAAACAGTGCTGAATGAACTGCAATAACTACTGCCACAATGAACTCAATATCCCAAAACTGTGAGAACAATCCATTCAAGGCTGAATAACTGCTGCTTTTCTTTCTTTTTTTTAAATAACATCCCTTAGCATCACTGTATTTTTCCATTATTCCTTAAGAACTTGACAGGTCGGGATCTGTATACATGCATATTTATCAGACTGATTGACAATCCAATATTCCAGAGCAGACTAAAACCAATCACTAAACTGGTTACTGAAAATGAAGAAAACTACTGTAACGCAAGAAGTGCGTAACTAAAGAGGAAATGGTAAATATCCCTTCTTAACATGTTCTTTTATTAATACAATTACATTTCCTTCTCACTTTTAATAAAGAAAGAAGGGGGAAGATATAATCCGTAAGCCAATCTGTGTAACAACCTCAGGACTTTTAACTATGATACAATAGAAAATAACAACTTTTTCTTATTCTTAGCACTGTTTTTGTATTACATTTTCTGAAGTTTTCTGTAGGACTGTATAGTTAAATGCGCATCAGAAAAAACAACTTACCTCTTTTTCATCTCTAATAACTGGTTATTGAGTACTGATCTCTCCTCTTCCAGCTAAAACACAAGTACAAAAAAATTACAGTTAATACACTAAGGGTTGTCTCCTTAGTATAACATATCAGATCATCATTATCATCAAACATGGGAGAGGCTACAGAGCCCAAAAATCCTCAAAGTAATCAATTTTCTACTAGGACAACACATGCACACAAACACAAATTGTTCAGTGACCAAGAACATTAGTGAGTGAGGGGCTATTACTGCTTTCAGTAGTATTTTCACGTTCTGTGCGCACAAGAGAGGCGAGAGGTTAGTATTGCCTTATGCAATATTTCCGAGCCCTGCGCATACCAAAGAGGACCGTAAGCCTTTGTGCGCCTATTAAGTTTAGCCCAGTATTGGTGAATTACTGGATTTGCCGTTGTTCTGACCTGGATAATTGTACTGCTGATCCGTGTTTGTTACTGTACCGTATTTAGAGATAAATTATTGATCCTAAAGCTGCTGGTCTGGTGTCTGTTACTGTATCTTGAACCTGTAAGTTGGCAGGGCCACCTTGAGCCCTTACAACTGAAAATATTGTTGCTGCAGGTTCTCAGGGTCCAAACTGACAGACCCACCTAAGTTTAGGAAAAGCAAAACCAACCAACCATCATTTGTACAACAACAAAACTGAAGATACACTGGGGTAACTGAGAAAGTTAAAAATTAAGTATTTTTCAGACCAGTTAATTATTTTTCACCATCTCCTCCTTTACTCAATGGCCAAAGTCAGCAATTACTGCCCTACAGAACTGCTTGGAGCAGCAACTACCAGTGCCTTGACTTGAACACAATCTGCATTTAGAGATTTCACAAGCTTTCTGGGTTCATCCACAAAGTTAGCAAGACATGCCTTTATAACAGAAACCCCAGAGCCCCGGGTACAACAGGAAATAGTCTCTTACTGACTAAATAATTTCAGCACTTTGCAGACATTCAGGTTTGGCACAGGCACGAAAAGCGGTAAGCAAGTTACAATGAGAAGGAAGCTGGTCTGCCAGCCTCCAAGGCTACGTTAAATGCAGCTCACCTAGATAAACTGTCTCCTCCAGATTTTCTGACAACTTAACCTTCTCCTGTCATGTACTACAGCATTGTCAAGCCTTACATATTTAAGATTAATTGGGATCATTTTGCTGGGGCTTAATCAGACAACCTTTTTGATAGGAAAAATAGATACTAGAAGGGTGTAGAGAGACATATTAATAAGTCTTAAAGAAAATCAAGATGTCTCTCTCCAGAAAAGTAACCACTGTAAGACTGCAGAGCAGCCATAGTACTATGGGGGTACGGCCAAATTTTTCCTGCAGCCAAGTCAAACCCAGCAATTTCACCAGCAGCACAAAGTATATCCCCTGTTCCAAAAATTTTTGTCTGCTTCCTACACAGAGGCAGCCGATATGAACTCCTTACATCTGCACAGACTGATGACAAAAAGAGAGAAGGAAAAAATAATATAAAAATTCTGAGAAATGTTTCACTTGCAAACCCCAGTGAGCTGCAGAACCCCCTCTGACAACTATTGCATACGGCCCCTCTCCTCTCTCAGACTCACGTTGCAATCTCTTGGGCATCACACTCTTCCAGCCGGTTTTTGCACTGCTTTTCCTCTACCAGCACTAGCATTTCGCTACAGTCACACTGTGCAGCATTCACTTGGCCACATTCCACAATCAAATTGCTTTGTTTCACCCTAGGCTAGCTTCACCTTCTGGTGAAGCCACTTGCAGCTGGAAAAAACTCATATTGACACTATTCACCCTTTGCTCCCCAGAGATCACGTCCACAGTGCTCTATGGTTCCCTCCCCTGCAAACACCCTCCACCTTTTTACGGGTTTCTTTTAGGAAAAGATCGTGGTGCCTGTTTAACTCGGAAAATCCTTTAGTATTTGTGGAATGCTGCAAGATGGTGAGCATAAACCCTGCATCTCTCCTCTGTTTTAGTTTCCTGGCTGTGGACGGATGAGTGATTCCTTTACAGACCGAGGTATTAGTGGACTTAAGAGAGAGACGAGTAAAGGACAAAATGTTAAGGCAGCTGTGAGGTTTCTAAACCCCTGTTGCAGCAGCATCAAGCCATCGATCAAGTCTTGAGCAGCTTCGTGGTAAAGGGGAGAAAGGACACCCCTTCTCTCATCACCATTTCTCTCATTAGCCTCAGAGCAGACTTCTTGCATCCTTTAATAAAAGACGGACCAGCTGAGGTGGCAGATATTCCTACACTTTTTCCAATGAAGTTAAAATGCCTGGGCAGGTCTGAGGCTACCAAAATGCCACATCAAATAATTCGAAGCCAGAGAAGTTCCCCGAGCTCAGTAATCCGACTGGGAATCTTTAACTAATTACAAACAGCTAATTATTTATGGATCAATATAGAAAAGCACTCCTCAGTAGTATAAGACACTTTAACCTTTAGATGTCAGGATAAATCATTCATGAAAGAGTATCCATTAATTTTGCAAAGTGTGTCACATGCAGCCACAGATTCACTAACCCAGTTGACTAACACGCTCGCTAGAATTTATATAGTTACCATAGCAACGGCTCAAAATACTTAAACCATATGCTTGCAACCTTTCTCACTGCATTTGAACTGGCACAGGCAGAGACACTCAGAGTGAAGCACTGATACATTCTCTGCTTTCCTCCCTACCATCCAATTTTTCAGTATCCCTTGCATCAACCACAGCTCCATAAGCAATCCTGTTCCATGTTAAATCTCTTCATCGCTACCATGGACACTTGTTCTCGAAAATCTAATGGTGCTGTTCTTCATAGTCACATTTTTTCTACTCCCCAGAGACAGCCTGAACCAAGGAAGCCCAAAGCATCTGTCCAAAGCCTGAACACAGCGTACGTTCACCCAAGCGACAGCAAAGTAGAAGCGGTGGGGGGATCACCGAGACCATGCCAGCCCAAGACAGGGCTGTCTGCACGAGAATCCTCAAGGCCAACTGTTTTTCTTGCCATTTTTTTCATTAAGAGAACCCGGCAGAGTCAAACGTAGAACAAGGGGAGCTGAAGTTTAAGTTGGGCAAGATCTAAAGGGAACGCGAAAAAAGTCCTAACTCCTCGGGGTAACAGCAAGTGTCTGTCAGACTGAGAAGTGGTTGGTACTTCACAGGCTCCAGACGAGACAGGGAATGCTTTTCAGGAGCAACCAGGAAATATGACAGTTCTGGACAGGCAGACTGCCCATTTCACCAACACTGAGCTGAGGAGAGCTGCACTCATCGGTTGTGTGACACCAGGAAGGACACCTGCATTTTAAATGGCACCATTCTGCCTCTGTTCCTTTCGCCACAACAGAGCTCCCTGGAATCCCAAATTCCAGGCTTTTAGGAGGCTGTGCAGTTCACTAGACCTAAAGACACCACAGCCCAAATACTGCATTTAGGAAATGCAACAGATGGCATTCCCACATTTCCAAGATTCAGATTACATCTTCCTCGCAGAAGAGGATATAATGCAACACAAATGGCTGAAGAAGGCAAACAGACTGTTTCTCCAAGCTCTGGCAGATCTTCCAGATCTTTCATCTTGGAGCCATCTACTCAAGGGCAGAAAAGGCCATGGTGTGAGCGAGCTGAGAATATTCCGGTTTGCAAGATGACTGACTAATCCCCATGCTTCGCAGACTAAGCTGTCTATCCTGGCCAGGAGAGAAGGATCCCTGCCGACAGATCCCCAGCAGGCAGGATGCAGAGAGCAGGACTCCTTCGCAAGGTCATCTGGAAACAGCGGAGGCCAGAGACTGACTGCGGAGACCACTGGAACCCTGGGGGCTGAAGGTTCCCTCCCCTCGGGGACCTTCTGTGCATCAGCTCTGGCTACAGACGACAGGCAGGAAGATTTGACCAATGTGGCTGAATCCTTTTTGAAGTTACAACTCTTTCTGAAAATAACAGGTTGCCTCAAAGATTCTGAAATAATTTAAGAAAACATGTGGGAGTGGGGAGCAGAGCTCCCACTGGCTATTTGGGATGACAGTGTTCTCTTACCACACCACTACTCAGATGCAAAATGAGTCAGTGGTTGAGCCCACGCGTCTGGGACTCCTGTTAATCATCTCCAAAGGCTCTTTAGGATGAAGCAGCTTGTGCATTACTCCTGTCAGCAGCCAAAAGGGTTCAGAAACTGGCCAGATCTGTAGTCACTCATCCTCAGTATTTCAAAAAAAGGCTCTTGGGGAAAAGTCAACCTCTTGGCTTTAAAAATATTCGGCTTTTGGTACAGGATGGAAAAGATTTGTTCCACTGTCATTGGGAACAGGCATGACCCTCTTCTGCACAAGTGCTATATCAGAAAGGTAATATATAAACCATGTCTTGCTCTTGGACTAGATCTCCAAAAGATGTCCTCATGGTGTGGCTGTCACCAGAACTGCTCCACAAGAAATAAACCCACCATATTTAACAGCCCTATAACCCCACCATATTTAACGGCCATAAATCTAATTTCTCTTTTGGCAAGTACCATTGTTATAAGCTGTGTAACTAAGCCCACACTTCAAGATTCTAACAATGCATTCAAATGTAATAATAAAAAATAAAAGATAAAATTTAATAGAGTCTTTTTCTCCCCTACAAACTACCACCAGAAAAACATCTTCCATCAATTCTAGTCCTCCAGCACCCACTACCTTGGCTGCAACACTGTTGATGTACATGCACAGTATGAAGTCTAAGCAAGCATACACGTGCATAGTGCTTTTTAGAGACAGAGTCCAACCAACTAGTTTTAAGTAGTATTCTGAAAAACATACTAAATACTCTTTTTTTTAGTGGGGAGAGCAGGAATAAGGAGGAGAATTAAATAGCTAGATTTCCTTAGTAATGGGTAGATGGAGATTACCACAGTTGTATAACAAAATTACTCCCGACAGAAATAGCAAGTGTCTGTTAATACGTTTGGCTAAAGCATATTTAATTTATGCTTATTTCTAAGCCTCCTAAGGATCCTTCGCGGGTTATGTAACCTTCTGTCAGCCTGCAGTTCTAACCTCCCAATGCAGGTGGCTTCCAAATTTATTTTAAAACACTCTCAGAACAACTCATCTTTCAAACACAAACATGCAGCGCAACGTCACCCAGGCATCAGCGGAAACAGCACGCGCAGCACTCTGGCCATAGATCAGGAAACGTTCCAGCCACTCTACCTTCTGATGACTTGTGACTTCGTCCCTGCTCCTGCCCAGCTCCTCGGCAAGTTTCACGTTCTCCTCTTGCAAAGCTGCAAGCTGCTGGGACTTCTGAGCAGCTGCCAGCTTCAGCGCTTCGCTGCGAGGACAGAGAGTGCATCGTTACCATAGGAACGAGAGAGGCAAGAAAAAACTGTGGGAGAGATTCAGCTTCACAGCTCGGAAAAATACATCTAGGTCACGTGTCTAATGGGATCTATAATAAAGGTGACAATCTATAGCTTGGATGCACAGGGATAGGTTTAATCCTGAAAAGCAACAGCAGCATAAAACTCCTTTTCCCTTAAATGGATCAGATACTCAAAGAAATGGGAGGTGAGTTCAGACCGCTAGCTCTGCATGCTTCCGAGGGTTAGCCAACGCTTGGACTGAGAAATACAGGGTAGGGTTGACAAGAGGGTTGGCGAGGTTTAAAGCCTGGACTTTCTCAGAAGTGAACCTTGTAGCCAGAGGGAAAACATGAGAATTGGTTAAATAAATAAAGAAAAAAAAAAAAAGGAGAGGGGCAGAAAAAAAGAAAAACAGCTTACATTTCCAGTTATTTAAATACTCCCTACAAGGTCTGACATCCAAACATACAAGAATGTGCAAGATCACAGAAGGCAAAACAGGAAAGTATCAATCTATTCCGTTATTTTAACAGATATAAAACTGAAAACGACATAAAACAAAAGCCAAGGAAAAAAATGGATTTGCAGGTTTCATTAGCCTATGTTGCTACCAATATGTGTGCTTCCTTCAAGTTTATTTTCAACAAATTTGTGAAAAAATATTTTGCATGCCTGCCTGTAACACAAGCAACTAACACAAGTTTCTGTAAGATTTCACAATATCTTTCAGAACATGATACACACACGTAATTTCATTAAACAGTAATTTTTCCAACTGTGTTTTGTTTTCAAAAAAAAAAAGGAGTCTCAGTACTCCTATGTGCCAATATTACACAGAGTTAAACCCTGACCGGAATATTAAAAATACTTCTATGACTGTGGGAGGTAGAAGAACCCCTAAGTCAGAAACTTATTCAAGCATCTCAAAATACAAGGACTCTCTGGTCTGTTACTGGGCACATTTAAACGAAAGGAAGTGCGATTTACTTGAGTTCCGCACATAGTATGACTAAGATTTTCCAACCATTTCTTCTATCTGGTCTCACCTTGACCGATTTCCAATCCGATCCACCCAGACTGGATTAAACAGGCTAGCTCACATCACCGAACATCGATTCAAATTACCTTGGTATGAATCTACTTGCTGATGCAGGAACATACCTATTTTTAACTGTGGCTGTTTGCTGAACTGCAGTACTAACCAATTCTCCTCTTTTTGCTTTTGGCATTAAAGCGCAGATTTGGGGCATTATTTAAAAAAGCACACAGAATACTGGGGTCAAATTGCGTGAAACGCTGCCCCGTATTTAGTGCCAAGGAACTTTAAACTAATAGCTGCAAGTGCACTTGACAGTACGCAGTACTAAATGAGTGCACAACAGCCAGCCAGTATTTCTGCTTTTCTCCATCCTGGTTGTACAGAGGAGGCCCTTTTACAAAGGACACCCGTGTCACTGTAGCATCCTCTTGCCTCCAGAATCGCTGCTCCAGAGGCAGCAGCATGTCATGGCTCCTCCGGGCAGTGCATCCCCTCTATGCTCCTTGGCAAAGGCAAGGGCACTCCCTGCACCAAGTGGCCTCTCAAAAGCCTTCTCTCTGCCACACTACTGCTTATCAAGAAACGCCTATTGTCAAGCTAATTCCTTACTCCAGTTAAAACAAGGCAACGCACAATATGACAACAAAAATCAATTGAAAACCAACTAGATGAGCTTCCACTTGATCTACAACGTCTCTTACCACTGATGATTAGAGACCATGTTCAGCAAAATTAACCTTAAGAAAAAAAATAAAATTAAAAACCTCCACAGAGTGATCAGGACCACGAGAACACCTTTCAGTGCTCCAGACTTTCAGGGAAAGATCTTCTATACAAATTACAGTCTAATATATTTTGTCTTTCCATGATACCAGAGTCTACTGGCCCTGGCTGTTCTAGCATTAGAGCAACTGGCCTGGCAATAATTATTTTGCTTTGGCATTTCCCACGGACACGGAGGCAGGTAGGAATTGCCATGGAACGAAATCCTGCCTTTCTCAAAGGAGGCTGCTGTCTGTACAAGTATGCAGGTTTTTAAAGCAAGCAGTAAAAACTGTCAGTCAGAAACTTAGAATTAGTTCTGCATGCTGATTTCCTTTGTGTCCTGTCTTCACCTCGGAGCAGTGGCAAAGAATTGGCACAAAATGACTTATGGAAATAACAATAATAAAAATAATTAGCCAAAGCTGCTCTCAGCAATCGGTCGATTCCAGTTCTCATTCCAAGAGTCAAGAAATTCTTCTGGGAGTGCAGGAGGGAACAGAGATTTGTGATTTAACATATTACATCTGTGAATGTTGAGAGCCGTGCAGCTACTGCAGGTAGCACCACCTAGGCTGGATTTTTATTCCCAGTGGCACACCAAAAGCTTTCATACAATGAGATTCCACAGGGAAAATTCCTTTGTATCAGACGCTTTGCAGTTAATTTGTTTGTGTACAATGTTAGACATCATTAGTTTGTAGTATGCAAGAGGTAGTTTCTCAAATGAAGCATTTCAAATCATAAGCAATTAACTCTGGTTTTACATACTATATACAGCATTTGTATGGTACCAGTGAGAAAATAAGTGCATAGTGGGGCAACGGGAATAAACTGGATAAAGTCATCAATGAAAAACAAAAGCAGAACCAGGTTTTCCATACACAAAGCCACATAAAACTACTTAACACTCCAAATGTAATTAAATCCAAACAGAATTTCTTTATAATAAAGCTTTTAAAATCATCTAGTGCCCTCAGGTGGCAGAATTCTATACTTCCTCCAACAAACAAATAATTTCAAACAATGCTCAGAGTGAAGGATTTGCTTCAAAACCCTTCAGCAATTCAGGAGCAACATTCCAATTTCGAGTTTTATGCATGTCAAACCAGTATTTAATTTTGACCTAATATGTGCTTTATAAGTGAGGATACCCGAGAGAAACCGAAAGACAATTTTTTAAAAAAATGAAAGGTAAATGTAACTACAAAGGAATGGTTTAACAGATTTAACATTGAAATACTTACAATTCTTTTCTAAGTTCTTCCACTTTCTTGTTCTCCAGATTTAGAAGCTCCTTTGATTTACTAAGCTCCTCTTCATTTTTCAGGTTGTTTTGTTTAAGCATGTCCAACTTAAAGAGGGAAAAAAACCTCATTACACTACTGAAACTATACAGTTCTTAGGTGTAGCACTTGGAAAAGATACTGAGCAAAATGGGGGCCTGACCTGAGCTGTTCCACTTTTTTGTCTTTAGTCCTTAAATTAATTCAGTCTGTACTGAGAAGCATTTGTCTAACAAAAAATGTTATAAGACTTTCTGCATTCAAGTCAAGCAGCACAAAGAATTCCAAGTCCATCGAAGTAACCTTACAGTAATCAGAGGTATATACCCTGATACAAGAGGTAAAGCTCCAAAGCACCTCCATTTTAAATACTATACAACTCAAAGCACTTTTTTCCTTTTTAAATTCAACACTTGTTGGTAAAATTAGCTGTTCTCTTGATCTTTATTCCTCTAAGATGACTGATAAAAAGTTCTGTTTTACCATACCTTAATTTCTGAGAAACAGTTGTGCTTGCAACCGTAAGAAATGAATTCCGTTCAGAGATCTTGTTGCATGGGACAAATTGTTGTATATCTGTTCACTGAGCTTGCATCTACCACATAAACACCACAAGCTTGTGGAACCTTATTTGTTGGCATTCAGCAACACGTTATATTACATAACGGATAATCTTCAGCCATTCTCATGGCATTATGGGACCCTGTGGATTTTTTTTTTTTTTTTTAATCCAGAAAGAGAACCCCTGCCATTATTAACGTCACTGCTTTTAATTCTCGAGTCATCAGATCTCGTTGGGAATCATTACTGTTTCAGCACAAGCTGCGGCACTTAGGTTCGCCCAGCTGTTCACTACCCATTATTACGGGAGCTGCAAAAGATGAAAGAGCTGTCAGAGGCCCACAGACCTCCAGGTCTGCAGAAAAGATGCTAGTTCAAAGTTAGACTAGAAACTCTGGGGCAAAAGAGTGTGAAAAAGATTAGTAAGGATATTTTTTCCCTCCTTCAAACCCTGAAGTATCACTAAGTGGTGGGAAGGCACGGACTGAAGAACAGGTCCCCAGAGGAACTGCTGGACTGCGAAGTTCCTTGGGACCATTGTGCTCATGTATTTGGGTAAGTGCATAGCTTGGTAGAATTTGTACCTTGTCAGACCACAATTCTGACTAACAGAAAAGTAGAAAAAAGAAGAAATGATAGCATTACACATGTCAAGATCACACAGAGGATGTACAGAGCAAGAAGTGTATTATAGGTGAGAAACGGAGTGGTAGCTTTTGTGGGTTAGGAGTACTGTTACTCAGAGCTCTGCAGGACTTCACTGGAGTGTGAAGTTGCACTCCAGACTTACATGAAAAGCAGAGTGGTCACATCTACGCAACTTATCCGGAGCTATACAGCGAGACTGATTAAGCCTTAAATTAAATTCGTATCTATTGATTCTGTGATCTGCAAAAGCTACTACCTGTAGCATCCAGAACTCCTATTACATAAGATTTTTTTGTTGTTGCTGTTGCTGCACCAAGATAAGGGACATGACTTTATATGTTGTAAAGATATTTGAAACCACATGCAAAACACAAGAGAACATCAGTCATACGGCTATATAAAGCACCCACATTTTCAATCAATATGCACTCATCTAGTAAGTTTTCACAAGCCAGTCCAGCCTGAGTACTGCGGTGGGAGAATGACAGAATTCACTCTTGCCTAAGCTAACTCTCTGTAATTCAAAAGTTGTTCCTTACAAACTAGGTGAAACTTTTCACATAAAAGCATTTAAATGTGATTACTTCATTCTGTAGCTTCTCATTTGTCTGTCTAGAGTTCTCCAAAGAGGCCAAAGTTTCAATCTTCTCTTTGTGAATGGCATCCTTCTCTTTGGTCACCTTCTCCACAGTCTGGAAAACATCTTCTGCCATTTTGGCAGTCTATATATAAAGGGGGAGTGGGGGAAAAAAAAGCATTACCAAAGAGATCTCTGAAAGCAAGAGATACTTTATGCACAGCTCCACGGTTTGCCAGCTGCTTTCCAATTAAACAAAGGTTTCAACTGGGAATTTATTTGCATTTTGAAGCTGCATAAAGTATAAAAATAAGTGGACATGAGAAGATTCAGTTCCATGCAGAAACAGATCACAACCCCATGCTTGTGTCACCAAAGCAGCCCGTTTCTTCTTTTGTAATTCCTGGATTTCTGATTTCCACCACTGTGATTGCTCTTAGACTTCTAACTGCTTTAGACAGTGGTGGTTCACTAGATGTTCACTGCCAACAGACTGCTCTGTTTTCAGAAAATGTGGAATTATAAAAAGCTGTTAAAATTTGAAAAATAATTAAAAATTAAATAGGAGATAAAGCCAATCATCACATTATTTCAAGTGTTGTTCATTATGCCCTCATAAAAGGCAATACTTCACAAGTATATTAAAATACCTAGGTAGGCATAATACATGCCTACAGGATATCTTGATTCCAATTTGGACTCAAAGTTATTTTATGGGCTTCAAGCCCCACAAACTGAAATTCAAAATAATATTCAGAATTTGTTGGTGGTGAATGCAAAACATTTCTGTGAATAAAAAGAACACCAGAACTGCCAATGTCTTTAACAGACTGGAAGTCCTATAATGTAAATTTAAATGGTTCTCTCACACTGCTTTTTATCCAACTACATTTACAGGTGCAGCATCTTGTTTTATAGTTTTTGAGTAACCAAATTGGGAATTTAAAACTGTATCTATTACTACTCTAGCTTTTAAGCTGTAGAGTATTTCAGTAGAAGGAGCTGCTCAATTTCTCCTACCAGATTCAGGAAACAAAAACTTCCTTTTATTCACAGTTTACGTTGTTTTCTTGCAACATTCAGCAACAGCATAGGCTTTTATGTTTAGGATTTTTTTTTTTTAAATTAAAGCGTCTTTCAGACTCACAATTATAACTTGAAGAAAACCAAAATAATATATTGAGAGAGACCATAATTCCAGCCTGTTTATTCTGAGATGAAGTGCTGATTGTGCAATTAAGTGCAGAGAAGAAACCATTGGGTTAGTGCTCAGTATTAGTATAACCATACTGGATTGTTTAACTACGTGTTTCAATACCTCAATTTTTTGCGCTACTGTTTGGGCCTGGAGAGTCTCAATTTCTTTTAGTTTCAAAGCCAGATTGTTCATCTCCTCCTGCAGCATCTGATTTTTGCCCTGAGACACCAGCAATTTGCCTGAGAGGTCACTATTAGTTTGTTCTAAAAGTGCTACTTCCTCATGCAGTTTATAAAAATCCTTGGAGAATTTCTCCTTCTCTTTTAGTATTTCTTCCTTAATGATGACCAGACCCTTCCGTTCAGCAAGCAGGCTGTCATTTTCCTCAAGTAACTGTATTCTCTCCTTCTCCATCACCTCGTGTCTGTGTCGAAGATCATCCAGCCTCTCAGAGACAGAGCTGTGCAGGTCCTGGAGCTCTGCTTTTGATTTAGACAAGGAAATAAAGTCACTCTTCAGTCGTTCGATACTGGAAGCGAGTTGCTCTGTCTCTGCACAGAGGGCTTCTTTTTCTCTTGTTATTTCTGCCAGTTTAGTTTCGGACTTTTCTTTCCCCTGAACTAAAAGTTCTTTCTCAGTAAGCAATTCTTTATTTTTCTCTCTCAGCTCTTCTATCTCCTTCTCTAAGCAGCTGACGTTGCTTTGAAGTTCTATACGTTCCAATAAAAATGATTCCTTGTCCAGTTTTCTAGCTTCCTTTTCTATGATTAAGTTTTCTTTCATAATGGCAACCTCTCCATTTAATTTCTGACACTTATCCTGCAATTCAGTCCTCTCTCTGGTCAGCATTTCCCTATCAGAGGAACAGGTCTTGAATGAAGATGACAGGACCTGCTTGGTGTGTGATACAGCAGCCAGTTCATTTTCTAATGTTCTTTTGGCATCCTGGGCCTTGTTCAGAAGATCTGAAAGGTCACATTTACAGGCTATTAGCTCTTGATTTTCTAGAGTCTTCTTACTTAGTTCTTCCTTGAGGGCTTCAATGGACTCTTGGAGCATGGTGTTCTCTTGGGCCAGAGCTCTCTTGGCCGAGACATCCCGTTCACGTTCACTCTTCATATCAGAAATTGCATTTGCAGAAGACTTGTTTTCATCCAGAAGCTCCGAGTATTTGTTCTCCAATTCATTCTTCTCTTGAAGAAGAGCTTCATTCTGCTTTTCAAATTGCAACGACTTACGAAAAATTGATTCCTTTTCTAAGTTCAGTTCGTTTATTTTCTTTGTAAAGACGCTCTCAGCAAGTACGGCATCTGCCGTGGCCTTAGCAAGCTTTTCAGCAATTGCCTTATTTTGATTTAAAAGTTCCTCCCTTTCAGCCAAAAGCCTTCGTTCTGATGAAGAAAGAGCCTCTTTCTCTTGAAGTAACTGAATACATTCAGAATTGGATCTCTCTCTTGAGGCTTTAATTTCCTCAAGACGATGAGAAAGATTAGCAAGGGAATCCTTCAACTCTGTATTGTCTTTCATCACTTTTTTAAGTTCTTTATGTTCAGCTTCTAGTTCTGTTTGCATCTCTGCTGTTCTCGCTTTTAATGCTTGGTTTTCACTAACTGTATTGTCTAAACTCACATGCAGCTCATCTATGCTTTTAAGGAGCACCTCCTTCTCAGACTGCAGACTCTGCCTTGTCTGCAATAGACTGTCCATTTCGTTTTTTAAGGCTGTATGTGTATTTTCAAGATCCGAGTGTTTACCTAGGGCTGAATCTCTCTCGGCAGTCAGATTTGACACTTCTTGCAGTAGCTCTCTTTGATCTCTGGCAAGGGCTTCACAAGAACTTTCCAGCTTCTGAATAACATCATCTTTGTCTTTAACAACTGCATCTTTCTCTTCCAAAAGTTTCTTCTGGTAATGCTCCAGTTCTTCCCGTTCCTTGATATGTCTCTGACATACCACATCCATGGCATCTTTGTTGGCCTGAAGGTCTTTCAGCTGTTGGAGCAAGGCTGACTCTGAAGACCGGAGAGCTTCACTTTCTTGAGTTACCTTCAGAAGGTCTGCCTGTGCTGCCTCTATTTCAGAGAGTAATTTGCTTTTCTCTGAAATTAGTGCTACCTTTTCTGTGATTTCCTGCTGGCTTTTGGCCTCGGCTTCTTCCTTCTGCTTTAGGATTTTTTTATTTTCTGAATTAAGTTCTTCATTTATTGTCCAAAGTTCTTCTTGGTTTTGTTGCATTGATGAAATCTTTGATTCCAATTCTAGAAGTTTTGATAACATGGAACCTCTCTCTAATTTTAAAGTATTTCCCTCCTCTGCCAAAGTCTCTTTTTCTGATATCAAACCCCTCATCTTGACTGACATTAGTTCAATCTCTTGTCTGGCTGATGCTAACACAGAGCTTAAGGACTAAACAAAGTCAGGGAGAAGGGAAAACAAAAATGAAGTCAAGCAGACAAATGAGAAATGTGGTTTGAGGGCAAACAGAGCTATTGTAATTTAAGTTTTTAAAAAGTGTATACACTGACACACAGTCCCTGTGCAAACTCAACTGCTGACAGCCACCACTGATATTTTATTACAAAACACTTGCCATCCGCAAGAAAACTTTTCAGTGGTTAAATAAATAAAAAAAATAATCACAGTTTGAAGGGTCCTCCATACGAGACTTCATCTTGGTTTTAAAACTACTTTCAACAAATTTTCTGAATGTAAGTTACTCAGAAAGAAGAGCCAGAGAATGATTTCATGAGAATCTAAGTTAATTAAAATGCAGGGAGTTATACTGGATACTGACTTCCAATTCTCAAATTCACCTTCTAAAGCTAATTCTCCCCAGAATTCCATCCAACATATATTGTCATAACCCGTTAATTCAAAATGCCACATTAGTGGTGTATTTAAAGTTAACCTGTGTGCCAATTTATACACTACATATTTTGCTAAAGCATAAACCAAAAATTACAGCAAATAACTAATAAGGGATGAAAACAAGCAGCAATGTCAAAGAAACAGAAGAAAAAAAAAAGGAAATTCACTGAAGTCAAGCAACTTACTAAGTAGTTGCATATAACATGGGATCATACTACAGAACAAAATTTCTGGTGTTTAAGACTTTTAAATGAAATAGTTCACAACATATTTTATTTAAGATTCATGCAGTTAAAAAACAGCTAAAAACATTTGTTTCCAACTGATTGTGCTGAGCCAGATACCTATGAACATAAAATGTTAACGTCAAAGAACTATATTTCATGGATTCTTGTGTAATCTAGAGAAGACAACCAGTTAGTTGTGTATGCTTCTCTTTCCTAACCAATATTAATCTACCCTGGAAAAATTAAAAAAAAAAACCCACCCCAAAAACCCCACTGCAAAAATCCTACTATGAAGTGGTGAAGCCAGGCAAAACCCAGTGATTCACTGAAACAGGAAGATTTAAACTTTAAATTACTTGCAGAGTAACAAAGTATACGTACTTTGGCCTGTTCTGCTTGCTTTTTCAGCTCCTCAGCCTGTGTTTCTAACTCATCGATTTTCTTCTGTGCAATTTTCAGTGCCTCTTCTGCATCCAGCAAGTTCTGATTAAACCCTTTGATATCTGCATCGTGTTTAGTGATCATCTCAGAAGTTTCTTTTTCATACTTTGCCTGAAGCTCCTTATACTGATTTTGGCTAGTCTCGATTTGCTTTTTCTGATAGAAGATAAAACAGTTGGAACACAAGTTAAAGCAGCAGAGGTACAATATTCTGCGCAGTTAGCTAGCACTTTTTCAAGTTGTTCTTACCATGTCCATTAGTTGGTCCTGCATGTTTTTCAGTTCTGCTTGATGAATCTTGAGAGTTTCTTGCTGACTCTGCTCAGCTTTCTGTGTTGTCTGCTCCACATTTTTCTGAAGCTGAACAGCCTTTTCATTTGCTTTTGTAAGCTCAACTTGTATTTGCTCCAACTGCCTAGAAGGACCAAATAAAAGAACATTACTTTTTGCTGACAGCACAACAAGCACAGAGATGAAAGACTCTAAATTATGCTGAAGTTCTATATTCTGTCCAAGCATTTAGAAAGAGATTTAATTATTTAACATATAGAGAATGTTCTGCTAAATTAAATACACACAAGTGAGACCAAGCACTTGCTCGTGTGCAGAGCAACACAGCTGCCAGTTACTTTGCTCCCAGTCTGGGGTTTTGTAAAGGTAAGAACAACTATTATCATACAATTTTATTTGAAACAACACATTTTCTCTTGCTAGACAAAAATGTGACTCAAATCTTTTATATATTCAAATAAACCAAGCTTATCACGTAATCAAATAATTATGAAGCACAGTCAGAAAACAGCATAGATTATTGAAAAGGCCGTTTACTCTGGGCAATGAAAAGCATATTACATAAGAATTTTAGAATTATAAATGTTAGATGCTCTTCAGATCATTCTGAGGAGACTGTTTTGATTAATTTAGTTTGATAGAACAAGTTCACTTGTCATATCAATGTGACATTCAGGAGCATCTTGTTCAGATATTTACAAAGAGATAAAACGAGAAGCTGGGAGTGCAGGAGCAAAGAATTAATGTGAAAATGTTCTGACAATGATGGAATACCTTTCTTTTAACCGGAGCTCATCATTCATTTTCGTCAGCTGGGCAGAGCTGTCTCCTGAAGACTTCATGATCTCTGCAATATCATTTTCAAGTTTGGCTTTAGCTTCAATCAGTTGCTGTTCCCTCTCTTCTCGCTCTTTCAATTTCTTCTCCATCACTGAGCAAGACAAAGGTTGTTAGTCTAGTAAATTTAAGAGAAAGGGTATGCACAGACCATCTAGAAGACAGTAAAGAACAATAAACAAAGCAATATTGATGCTACAGACCTTGCAAATTACCTCTTTAAAATTAAAAATTATGATTGTTTGAACTGTTAACTGTACCAAAAGGTTAAGAACTCTTCAGAAATAGTAAAAAAGAAACTACTCAAGAAATCTTTCTTTCAGAAGGGATTCACCTCAGGCCATGAGAAGTGGATACAAGTTCTACCCATATCAGAGGGTAATCAAGCAATATAATAAGAGAGGTATGCACATCTTACAGGTGTGACAACTTACCAGCTATTTAGTAGAGCAGCGGAAAACAAACAATGCAAGCAACATGAAGCTACAGTGAAAAAATTACTCAGTCCAGGCCAGGCACTGCCACCAAGGGCAAGAGCAGCCCTTGGGATGACTTCTACAGTCCCAACAATGCCTTGAAAGGCTTGCTCACAGGGTACACAACCACTCTTAATTTCTTTCTACATGGGTTTTAAATCGAGATACACAACTAGAAAGACACAGCAAGACTCCCACCTATGAGGTAGTAAGGAGGAGAGAACCGGCCTAACATACAGTCTTTTTGATGTCCTTAAAAAGATGACACTACTTATGGACAAGGCTTCTGTGAATTAACTATCCTACATTTGTAATGCTTCGGTCTGGTCCCCAAGCCTTTGTCTGGTATCTGACCTTCGCCACAGCGTGACTTTGTTGTAAGGTCAATTAAGAATTTAACTATTGATTTGGAATACACTCAGCCAGGAAGTCTTCTGCCTGACTGCGCTATTTCCTTAACATTACCATCACCTTGCTAGGTCACTATAGACAGTGCCACAAAAGCTGTTTTCTGCCTAGAAGAAAAGACTTTCTTTTGAAGGCATGTGTGTTTGTGAACGCATTACAAACTACGATGTGGTGAGCTGAGCAGGAGGCATACAAAAGCACGAAGCTGATGCATTTTTCAAAATATTGCATTTTATTCCTTACCAGTCAAACTAGACTTCAGCTGTTCCAGTTCTGAAGACATGAGTGCAAACTGCTCTTCTTTTTGGTTTAGTTTTTTTATTGTTTCTATGCAAGTAAAATTTTGAAAACAAAGTTAGTAACTACTTAGATGCAGACAATTCCACCTACTTCTATGAAGAAAGACTGCAAGTAATCCTGTCCTTTCCATAGTTGCTGAAATTGCTGTACCACCAGGTGTAAATTTGAAAGTGCATTACAAAAACCCCTTTATTTTGCAGCATTTATTTTCTGCAGCTTTTTAGTTCTTTGTTTAGTTTAGCAGCGGACATACCTTGCATCGTTTGTTGAACGTTTTCTGCTTCATCAGCTGCACTAGTAAACTTTTCTTTCTGAAAAATGAATAAAAACCTCAGGTAAGGTTTGGTAACAGCAGTATAATTCAACCACTGAATTTATATTAGGTATTTTCAAGTACAAAACAGAACAGTCTTCACTCCTATCATAAATAGATCTGAAGTTTCTGAATTACGCTTTAGCATAAATATATTCAGCAATATAAAGCAAGATTTTCCCTTGCCTTGGTTGCAAGCAAGTCCCTAAACTTTCAAAATAACTTGTCCGTCAGCTAACATAGCAACAGAACTGCAGCCACAGAGTCCAGCATAGGAGAGGTCATTTCTGGGCTTCTCAATGCAAGAAGCTATCCATGCTGCTCATCGGCTGCACAGTGGACATCTGCAACCTTGTGAACTATCTCATACCAGTGTTTTCCAGCTTCACCAGCAGGAAGAGATGCTAGACTGTGAAGAAAAGGGAGGATACTGAGGAAGGTAAGAAGTGAGACTCTTCCACCATATTTACTATGGCCACGGAAAGATTTTATGACAAGGACAATAAAACCTAAAAGCATGTCTTTCTCTTCCTAACTCTGGTGTAGTTTCTCAGGAGAATCCCACCCAACTACAGAATACTTGCAAACTTCATTAAATTTGCAAAATGAGAAATCAAAAATGTCTTCAAAAACCATTTGTAAGACATCCATATAGTGAGCATTACTTTGTACAACAGCTGTAATAAAGCGCCATGTGTTCATAGAATCACAGACTGGTTTGGGTTAGAAGGGACCTCAAAGTCCATCTAGTTCCAACCCCCTGCCATGGGCAGGGACACCCTCCACCAGCCCAGGTTGCCCAAAGCCCCATCCAGCCTGATCTTGCACACTGCCAGGGACGGGGCAGCCACAGCTTCTCTGGGCAACCTGTGCCAGGGCCTCACCACCCTCACAGGGAAGAATTTCTTCCTCACATCTCATCTAAATCTGCCCTCCTTCAGCTTAAACCCATTACCCCTTGTCCTGTCACATGAGTTCCTTAATGAGTAGTCTAAATTTAAGCTACGTGCTGCTTTTGCTTTGGTTTAATACTTTATCCAAAATCCATAAACAGGCGAGTTCTATTTAGACAAACACCTGATAACAGAACTCAGGTGAAATGCTCTTTTCATTCCAAGATGGATCCTATTAGTCACAAACCCTTGCCTTCTTTTTTCATGAGAAAAATAGCTTTGAAAAAAACTTTGCTCAGTCTGAGTTGATCCTCAGGTTTCAAATACACTCTCACCATGAAAACCAAAATCCAAAGGATAAAGTCAAAATTCTTGGATATTACTCACCAAAATTTGAAGTTCCTTTTCCAAAGAATCTTTAACTTGATTTACTGCACTCAAGTTTTTCTCAAGGTCAAGAAGCTTTTGCTCTTTGCCCTGCAGTTCTTTGGCCAGATTACTAGCCTAACGAAGATGATGAAATGGAGTAAAATAAAAGTACAAACATGAATGAGAAAATAGGAAAATTAAAAATGGAATATGAAAGAAATAAGTATAATATTAAAATCACTGTAAGATGAAAAAAAAAAACCTGAAGAAAAAAAATGTGATGTATTAACTGAGCGAAGCTGATTTCCACTGATGACTACATCACAGTACATCTTGGAATACATCTGAAATCATTAAAATTTAGTTCTCTTGGAATTAATGGTGAAAACATTATTTAATAGCAGACATTTTTGAGTATGTTCAAAATTTCCAAGCAAATTACAGCATCAGCTGAATTAGTAGCTTTAGTTCTTTATTATTGTTTTATTTTTTTAATCTGATAAATTTAGCATTTATGTTTCAATTGGCGATTTAGACCAATACACACACATGTAATTTTCCAAAAGGCTCTGTACCACAGCCAGGGGTAGTGCAGAAACCCAGTGGGACCTCAAAAAATCAAGTCAAAGGTCCATAGTATCTTGGAACCATCTGTGAAGGGTGTAGGAAAGCTATCTCCAGTTAATTTCCCACCACTCTTAGAATTAGAGCTCTAGCTTGTAGGGTCATGCAAAGATTGGGGATGTGGGGGAACCCATGAAGTGAAATTATATCTTAGGACTTTAATTCCTAGCTGCAGCAGCAGAACAACTTTCAAGTACTGTATGCCATGCTATCAACTTTAAAGAGACACTTCATCCAAAACCAAGATGAGTCTTGGTAAGGTGTATCACAGGGCAGCCTGTGCTTCAAAAATGCTGTGAACCTGTGCTGAACAACATCACTGCATACCCTTGTCTTAAAGAAAAGTTCCACCAGGATCTTTTTTGGTTTCTTTTGTTTTTAATAGCCACTTCTATCATCATCTTTGAGGAGAGACAAGATAGTGAAAGTACAGAGGAAACATTTCCCCATCAAGCCCCAAGTCACTTTTTATCTGAATACCTCTACCGCCAAAGGTTAAAAACTTGCATATTAAGATATGGGGATTCTTCTCCCAAATAAGCCAAACTAACTTTTCCATAACACAAAGCTTTCAGCAGAGGCATGCTGAAGCTTGCAGCAAGAATATGCAGAAAGAATTTGTTTTTCCTTTTGCTTAGTGGTGCAGACTGAGCACTAGCAATCTATTTAGAGACATGACCCAGTTAACACTTTCTCTAAACCTCCTCAGATGGTACTATGATACGCATTCAGTAAAATGTGGGGGTTTTTTTCTGTGATGAGTTTGCTATAACAGATCAGAACAGTAGAAATGTAAAATAAAAATGAAGTAAAAAATAAAAGGATGGATGTTGATACAAACCTTGCTACTTCCATCAACCTTTTCAGTCTCTAAATTCTGAATTTGTTTCTCAGCTGCCTCAAGCTGCTTGCTAAGTTTCTGGATTTCCAATTTACCTTCAGAATTGGCTTTCTGAAGTGCAGCAAGGTCCAAAAGTTTTTCTTCAGCAGCTTTGATCTGTGGTGTAAGACTATCAATAACTTTGGTTTGTTCATTGTACTTGGCTTGCAGTACCTCTAGCTCCTTTACCTTTATTTCAGCTTCCTGTAATTTGTTTAAAGTGTCTTCCATTTCTACTAGATGCTGATCTTCCACACTTTCCAGTTTGGTCTTCAGGCTTTCCAGGTTTTGCTCTTTCTCCTCGGTGACTGCCAACAGTTTTGCTTTCAGCGATTCAATCTCTTTTAAATGATGAGATTTTTCATTTTCCTGCTTCAGTTTTAAATTTGACATTTCATTTTCATAGTCTAATTTAATCTTCTCAATCTGAGTCTTTAACTCTGCAAATTCTGCTGTCTGAGCCCCTACACCTTTGCTGAAAGAAACTTTTAGTTCTTCCATGGCTTGCTGATGGGAGGCAATTGCAGATTCCAGCTTTGATTTCCACAGCTCTATTACATCTGAATTCTCCTTGTTGGCATGATCAAGCTTAGTTTTCAAGGATTCGTTTTCTTTTGCCATTCTCTCATTTGAAGCTGAAAGTGATTTTATCTCTTTCTGCAATGCTTCTTCACTAATTCCAAACTTCTCTTTCAGTGAATTCATCTCATTCTGATGTTCTTTGCTAACTGCTGCCATTCTTTCTTGCAAAGAACTTATTTCTTGTAACAACGAAAGAGAAGTGTCCACATCATCAATGTGTTTACTAGACTCTAATCTCCCTCGAAGCTCAGCTACTTCCTTCACCCGCAATGCTAGATCTCTTTCTAGTTCCATGATGCGAGATTTTTCTGATACTGTGGCCACCTATGATTAACAGCATTTTAAGAAAAGAAGAAAGAATTATAAAAGATATGTTTAATACAAAGACACTTAGGCCTCACTGAAAAGAAACCACTGAGTGTTGCAAACTAAGACCATTAGTGTATTCTTATCAGCATTTTGGTTTAGAATACCTTTGAGTTTGTCAACTCCTACTTCTATGGAAGTTCTAAAGAAACCTTAAGTAAAAGCAATATTTGCTTTTACAAGGAAGACTGTGAAACAAGACCAACTGTTGTTTCACTTACGTATAAAATATTGCTTTAAAAAAAGGAAAAATGTCCTCATCACCTCCTTATTATACTAACACCCTGAAAAAGATATTACTTACCTGCAATTGCTCTTTTAAAGTACTTATTACAGAGAATCTTCTTGGTTTTATAATATTCATCCTACCTCAACTTCAAGAAAAGCCACATGTGCAAGCATGAATATATATAGATAGATATCCTTAAAAATTGACATCTGCTGAACTTCTGACTTAGGACAAAGTATGTCCAGTAATATTCTGACAGACAACATTATTAATAATGCTACTGGGATATCCATGAAAAGATTACATCATGAGTGGGGGGAAAAAAAACAACCCAAACTAAAAAGCAACTGCAAACCATGATTTAGCAAAGCAAGTAGTACAACAGCTATTTAAGGTCTCAGAAACCAAGTCCCAACTACTAAGTTTGTTTTGAAAGCATTGGCACAGTCGATCTTATTTTTGGATTTAATAAACTTTGCTACTTCTGAAAACGAACCACTGAACATTCCATTATGTCAATTCACAATCCTATTTGCTACTTTTGACTTGGATTCAAGTATTAATTTTGCAGTTTTAAGACATCTTACCTGAATTCTTCTGAAGAAAAATGAGTATACATATACAGGCATACACACACACAGAGCACTGAAGCTCAAAATTAACGCTAATTTTTGAAGTGTTCCAGCTATGTCTATAGCAGGTACTGATCATGGCAGAAGCAAGGATCTGTTTCAGCATGTGTTATACCCAGCAGACTGTGTCATCAGAAATCTTCCACAACACAAATCAGTCTTGTTATTTAAATAGTGAAAACCATTACCCTAGTGTCTTCTAACTCCCTCTGGAGTTTGTCAGCTTTGGTCTTTTCAAAGAGCAGGCTCTGTTCAAGCTCCTTAATGCGGGCATGCTCCAGTTTGGTCTGCGTCTGTTAGTAAAAAGGGAAAGGAAGAGAACACAACGGTGCCACCATCACATGCCAGCACAAGAGGAGGGAGCCACATGCAGGCCGTGCTGCCAGAATCTTCTATCAATGATGAGCAGAGAAGAGGCAGTGGACAAAATGAACAGGGAAATGCTATGGATGAGAAAGATGGACTGAAAGTGTAAATGGACTGACGTGTAAAATAAAAAAAAGTTAAAAAAAAAATCACAAAGAAAGATGGACAAAAAAGTTTCATGCAGCCAAGTAGAAGTTATTTATCAGTACATGAAGTTTTCAGCACAAATTAGAATAGTTATGTAAAAATATACATATGTGTATATATACCTATACCTGTTCTAACAGAATGGTAAGTCCCTTTCCTTGTCATCCTCCTAACTTTTTTCTTTGATGTATTTAGCTTATTTTATAAATGATTTAGTTATTAACCAAGGGACAAAAATTCACTGAAGCTCATGTGATGAATCAAAACTTCTTAACTTTTTTTTTTTTTTTAAATAATAGCTGCATCTCAAGTCTCAGCCATAAAAATCCTTTTGGCCAAGACCAAAGATTCATTTGTCACTATGGTATGAATTATTTGAATAGAAACAGAAAGAGAATGGTTGTCTATAACTGCAGAACCTTCCTAGATTTTCTCCCTACTCCTCTTTCAGGCAGGAAGCAAGCAGCAAGTAAGATTCTCCAAAACCAGGTAAAAAAGTGAATCAGTCTGGTTGCTCTATAGTTACTGAAGTCTAAATACATTGAGCAAGATGTGGAAGTAAGGAAAAAAAAAAGAAAAATGAAAAAAAGGAAAAAAGAAAAAAGGAAAAAAGAAAAAAGGAAAAAATGAAAAGAAAAAAAAAATCTCTGTAATTCTAATAGGTTCCTAAAGAGAAGCAGGAAGCAGATGAAACTAACTGAGCAGGTACCTCCTGCCTTTTGCTGACAAAGAGATAGAATTTTTAGCAAGACGACAGAATACTGGATATTCTGACTTGATACCCAGATACTCCCAGAGGCCTGCAAGACAGCTTGAAGTTTGAGGTGTGCAGGTAAAGCTCAGCAGCTCGTTCAAATCTGACCTGCACCTCTGAGTGTGGAAAAGGGTGGGGGGAGAGAAAAAAGAAATATAAAGAGGTAAGAACCAGGTGCCACGCTTATTTCTGAAGTGCCAAGATTAGAATGTTGTGTCAATCTTGACAGGTCACTGTTAGTTTAAATTTCCTAAACAATCCAAATTAAAAGGATTATGAAGTCTATTGCTGCTTCACAGTGTCTTTTCAAAAAAAACCCCCCCCCCCAAAAAAAAGGTGGCTTTTCAGGGCTGGCCCACATTGAGAGTAAGGTGGATGTCCAGAAGAAGACTGAATGAAGTTGAAGATGTGTTTATTAACCAAACAAGTTGCATCCATCAGTCTTGAAAGTTCTCTACACAGTTAATTTACTACAGAACAAAGTAACACAGCAACCCTCAAACCCTCTAACGACTGTTAACAGAAGAGAGCCCTGCAACCCGAACTCATCGAATGCTGGACTGAAAGAATCTGAAAAGGCAGGAAGACACGTGAATAATTCTGAAGCCACACTGCTGCAATCAGCAGCACGTGCACAGCTGGCAGGACACTGCTGCTTCTCTGATCTTTGTAATGTGGTATTTAAAAATCCGTATACAACAGTGTTATTTATAGAGTGACAAGCTGATTAGTACTGCCTCCAAACCAGCCGCAGCAGTTCAAGATCTTATGTAGTCTCTGCAGAGCAAGTGGGATGGGGATGAGCCTCTTGTTTTGCTGCAGGCCTGTTATCCTCCAAACACAGTATTCCTTCTGACAGCACCAAGTTATCTTCTTTCCCAAAAGCATGCAGACATCTGGCGGTTTAATTTTTTAAGCATTTTTCCAGCTGAAAACAGTTGGATGTTTTACTGTGTAGTTACTAGGTCCAAAATACTAAAACCAACAAATGCTATAAGTTGCTTCTTAGACTTGTCTATTTTTTGACATTCCACAGCAGGCTTGGTTCTCTATCAGTAGAAGATCTTCAGTATATACGAGGGAAAAAACCCCATGAGAACATGGATTACTGTTTTTGCCTTTGGAAATGGGCTGTAATTCAGTCCCCTCTCTGCGACAGGTTAGTATTAGTTCTGATCCACAACAAAATTGTAAGTCTGAAAAGTAATCTATTTTTAAATAAATAAAAACTGAATATTCATACCTTCCTTGCTTGAATTCACCAAAGGGATCTATTAAAACTGAGAAACCCCAAACCTGATAGTTGCAGAATTCTCCCTGCATGACTTTTTTGCAAAATATGCTATCTTAAGGGGTTTTTTTTTATGCTACATAAAACCCAAACCACTTCGATCATTAATTTTATAGACATTGCTTCACTACTGCAAAGATCAGATACACCATCACTGATTACTGAGGGTGGAGTGTGTGTAACCCCATCTCTTACATATTACAAGGGGAAATAAGTTAAAGTCCTAAAAAAATGGAAATAAAAAATAAATTTAAAAAATATTCCAGAGATCTTTGCTGGACACTTTTTTCCCCATTTATGGCATGAGGGATTATCCTTTAAACAAGTCTGATTTCCAAGGGACAGGCTCCAGTTTCCCCGAGGTAAAAATCAGTACAAAATTTTGAATCACTCAAATTTCTCTCCTGATGATCTAGAGAGAAACATCTAAACGATTATGTTTCTCTCTGAGGAAACCCAGAGCATAGTAAACCGAGAAGAGCAGAGTACTATGAAAAGAAGAAAAGAATTCGATTGTAAACCCCAAAACACAAGCATCTTCACATGCCTAACAAAGCCTAACAGATTAAGAGTGACAGGGAAATGGGATGAGCCTTAACTCTGCCTTGAACCTTAAAGAATTCCGCTCAAATAAACTTCACATTCAGTATTCTAGCTACTCTTTCACTTCAAAATAAACCTTACCGCTAAGTTCTCCATCTATAGGTCAAACTGTGAAATTGTGCTGAAGCCATAAATGCTGATAATCAGTTCTAGGATAGGGGCAAGACGACCTTCAGTCCCTTCGTGCTGGGATAACAATCACAGGACACGACTGAGATTATGAAACATTAGCCTAGAAACTAAGTGATCACCCACTTCTCTCCTTTAGAGAGTGAAGATGTCCATTTTTATGGAAAAAATTAGAATAGGGAAATCAGGAGTAAAGATAGGATTAAACAAGGAGTGCACAAAACAAGAGAAAGGAAGGGCACATGCAGATTTACTTCTAACACACCGTGAGCCTGATTGGAAGAATAGAGGAGACCCAGATCGCTTGAAGTAGCTTCGCAAAAGGAATACCTAAGAATGCACAGCAGGAAACCAGTTTTAGTCTTGAGAACTTCCTATCTCGGCTGGGGATGCAGCAGAGGAGGCAGCCTGGGATAAATTTTTCTGAGTACAATCAAAAAGAGGACTTTTAAATTCCACTATTCTGAGCTATGGAAGCAAGAGGGCTGCTTAAACGTCTTGTAAGGCAATTGCTGTTATCTGGTAACATACATTTTTCCTATGTAATTCAAAGAGAATCTACACAAAGATACAGTAAAATCAGACAGCTTTGCACACTAATTCTTCAGATGCTTTTAATCATCTCTCCCCTTAGCATTTCATGCCAAAAAAAGAAACACATCAGGGGAGGTGGGGAACACACTGATTTTTTTTTCCTCAGAAAAATTAATTGGCTAATTGCATACTGCATCTATTGAACAGCAGTAGGAGCTCATAGGAAAGCATGCAGGATTTTATGAAGAACGCAACTAAAATCCGACATTTCAGTGAAAGACATTTCAAGATCCTGGACAGTCATGTTCTACAAGCTCCTATACTCTTCAACTAGTTGCAAAGTTTTTGACCCTAAAGAATTCTAATGACACATTCGCCCTCTCTTCAGTTAATGGGGATTACAACATTTAGTCATTGCACACATTCTTTTCAATAAATGTTGTAATTGCTCTGAAAGCAACATGCACACAAAAACTAGAGTCAATGTTTCAATAACAGATTATGCAGTTAGTGAATAAGTATAAGCATTTTCTGCACACAATCTGTTAACATGGGATGTCTCTGCACATTTAAGTGCCCTCTTACATTTTCTGGGTCTTCCGAAATCTGCCTCTTTCGCTATCAGTAAAATTAAAAAAACAAACAAACAAAAATATTTCACCTGCAGACTTAGCACTATAATTCCAACACAAACAACAGGATACATTTCATTATCTTGAATTCAGTTTAAACTCTTGAAGTTATGCAGCTTGACAAACCAGAGTCTTTAAGATGGCTTGCCATGGCTATTGACTGATTTAACGAAAAAATAAAAAAATTAAAGTTTTCCATGGACTAAACAATAAAAGGAGCATTCTATGAAGAGTCTAGATAGGTATCTTAAAATGAATGGAAGACTAAAATAAAAGAAATGTTATATGAAATGAGTAATTTTCATAAGGCTAGCACTTTAATCATAAATGGTGCATAGGAACACAAGTTAATTAAGTTTGTACTTTATGCTGTGCAAGAAGTTCTAATATTTTTCTGATTAGACAACAATAGAACAACTAAAAAGTATCTTGCTTTTTAATTGGAAATTTGGGGTGAAATTTGGCAGTGTTCAAATACCTGAGAGCAATCCTTCATTAAATATTTTCTATTCTGATTGCGTAGTAACATACTGTGGTTTAGCCCAATGTTATAGAAACAGTAGAAAGATAAAAATTGCACACATTAATTGCTGTTTAGATTTTGTGTGCAATAACTCTCAGGACAAATCATTTTTTGTTAATCAGTCTTCCCTGAGGAAAGCACAGGGATTATTCAAAGAAGTGACTGAAGACAAACAGGACTAGTCTTCAGTATTAATTTTAAAAGGCATATATATTAACTTGCAATTTCATAACTTCAAAATTATTTTTTGGTGGTGGTTACTTTTAAGCAATTTCAGAAACATTGGTAAGATGTAAGATAAAAGAATGTAAAATATCAAAAGGTAGAGTTTTTTATGAATTAATTTAATTACCCAAACAACTACAGCCATTCCACAGTACAACCCTTGCTAAAGTATGTAACTGAATTAAGGGTGCAATCCTGTAGTTTCAGGACTTACTCAAGGACTGCAGAACTGGGAATCGCTTTCATGTGCTTTGCGCATGCTTGGACCAGTACTGCATCTTTTAATCATTCCTGTCTTTCTCTTCTAGAGAACAGTACACTTCATCTGAACTGATTGCATTTCTGTGTCCTACTATTTACCCTGTTTACAAAGCTGGAGATATTTTACCTCTAGGTCTCCTTTGGTAATGGATTCTTCTTCCACACGGAACTGAAGGTCTTCGACTTTCCTATGGGGACAATTCATCAAAATTCAGATAAGACTAAAACAAAATGCTTTCAAACTCACTTTTCAGTGGAAATCAGAACTACAGTGACATCATTCTGATTGTACCGGCAAACTGCCAGAAACATCAAGGAGAAATCTCTCACAGGAACCATCAGAGAGAAGGAAAGCCGCTGTCTTTAAAACACAACCACTGACAAAGTAAGGCATCAGTCTTCCTGCAGCTCTATAAAGAAAGTATTTAGTTGCATTTTCTGATGAGTTAAAAAGAAAATCTTTAAGTCATCATTGATTCTCTCATTCTTTCACCCTTCTGCACATCCTCAAAAGAGGTGACCTAAATGAACAGTTTAATCGGACATTCTGTATCTTCTACCATTCACCTAAGAAACAGAAAGTTAGGAAGCATCCAAGATACCCGTGAGCCTTCTACGAGCGTGCTGGTCAACTAGCATCAAGACTCTTGCATCAACAAACATATGTTAGGCGTCAAGATAAACTGCAAGATGCAGTGGGGGAGCACAAGCAAGAACATTGCCTTGCCCGTACAGAAGTCTTAGAATGAGAAGACAGAGGTGACAATCTAGTATCCGACTTAAAATAAAAGTTGTAAAAAGTTATTTCTTCCTTCCCCTGACTCTGGTATAGCCCAATGAACAAGGGTCCAGATCCCCTCCTTTTCCCCTTGATACTGTCAACACTGTAAGATGTTGCAAAGGAAGAGACAAGCACGTCTTCTTTCCTTTGAATTACACACACTGCCAGTGCCTGTAGCTTGGCTGACAGATGTAGAAATCATTGCATCAAAGAGAGTTACAAGTGATGGATGTCTAAAATAAAAGGACAATACGAACTTATTACTGGAAGTGGGTCTCACCAATGTGCTTTGGGAAACAGAGGATTAAAGATTATTTGACTTCAAGTCTCTGCTGACACTGACTTGAATACATATTACAGAGAACTTCCTAAGTAAATAAGCCTAGAGTGGTTGGGAGGAAGGAGAAATATTACACTGCCAAAGCTGTGAAATGTTTTCCCAGCTGTAGGACGTCACTTCGGTGAACGGGTAGCAGCACACAGCGCCACTGCCACGCTGCCTAGCAACTCGCTGAAGGTGAGCTCAAGGCCATGGAGGACTGCGGTAAAACAGACCCCCACTGACCTGGCATTCAGCGAAAGCAGGTCCACAGCCAGGCTACCGGAGGTGCTGCAAAGCTGCTTTTTTTTTTTTTTTAAAATTTAAAACCCCACTGCAATATTTTGTAGAGAATACACAAAGAATTCCAGACTTAACTCTACTGCTCGTTTTGAAAATTCAGTGAGAGTGGGTCCCATAAAAAGGCAGCATGAAAATTATAAAGGAATTGCCCAGGGTTTACCATTGCATTTTCTCATCTGGGATTTCTACTTTTAGACAGAGTAACATCTGACTGATTTCAGGGGCACACACAAGCCTACAGGGCAGACTCACAATGGGAAGGCTCTTCAAAAGCATTCCAAATCCACCAAAACAATCTGTCAGATTATTTCCTCACCTAACCTTGTCCCAACAATTTATCAGATTAATTCCTTTCCTAACCTCACTTTACCTATTTGGTAATCTCACTTCCTTTCTTCAAGCAGTTAAAAAAGGCAACTAGAAAAGGCATTAAAATTCATGGCTTTGATGATTTTCCTGTAAGAGACAGACCCTACCTAGAAGAACATGCCTAGTAATAAATTATTCACAAGAGAACTAAACTGTAAATTCTTAATCCAGCACTGTCAGGAAATGAAATTATAAAAATTTTCATTTTGGAGTGGAAGAAGAGTGTTTCAAGAAGATCAGGCACAATTTCATATGAGTACGAATAAAATCCCTCGTAACAGAAAGCAATAATAAAAGGAATGGGTTACATGAAATTCAGCTATAAACAATAGTTACAGCTTCTAAAAAAGTCCACTTTCTTTGGCTTTCCCTCCCCAAATTTACAAGAGTTTCTCTTCTAGTATTAATTTTAAGAAACCAATATTATTTTATACACTAATTGCCCGTATTTGCATTATTTGAAATTTGTTTCATATTTCAAAGTCACCACATCATTTGCTTTCAATGCAAAGTTTGTCTTTAACAAATTTATACTAATAAACAGTTTTCGGTTACCTTTTCTCTTCCTCAAGCTGATTGAGAAGCTCCACTTTCTCCCTATCAGCAGCCTCCACCATAGCTCGTAGCTGGTCCATTTTTGCTTCCATCTCCAGTACATGCTAATTAGCAGGAAGAATAAGAACAAAATCTTGGAAATTTTTTCCAAGTTATGTATCTATACCTCAGTAATCACAATTTGGTAAAGTGATGAGCCAAGGCACAGGAATGTTATCATATTCAAATACGCACATAATAAAAGAAAACCATCTCTTATTGAGATGTGCAGAGACGTTCAACCAAAATCAGTTAAATGAAATGGATTTGCTATCCCATCAAGCCAAAGCTCCCACAAGAAAGACTGCATAGGTATGGACTACTTTAGTTTTAGAAGAACATCTCTTACTCCCAGATCTTTTCAATAACAAAACACAATTTTGGAAATTAAGTGAATTGTCTTAAAGCCTCTAATTTTACAAACAGCAACACCACTCTTACCCGATCATGTCCATCACGAACAAGAGCTAATTCCTGCTCTATTTCTCCTACGTGACTGGTTGCTTTTGCAACTTCTGCCCTCTCCAGGTCCCTTTCTGCCAGGAGCTGTTCAATGTGTTGCTGCTTCTCCTTCAGTGCCTCCTGTAGGGCTGTGGTACCAGAAATTTTTCTTGCATACCGGGAGGATGTTTCTGTCAACTTCACAAAGTAAATATATTAAAAATCATTCTGTATCAAGTGAAAACAAGGGATATCTCCAGACGCTACAAACATTGGGTTAGTAAAGCAAATGCTTTCTGTAACCTACTGTACCTTCTCCTTTTACATTTAAATGACTTCATTTTCTAGATTTTAACAATGGTCATACAAGTGTAGTAAGACTGCTTTGCAGCAATCAGCAGCTAGTGTGTAGGAGAGGGAAGGGTTGAAGTGAAAACAAAAGGCTGGCCTCAACGGAAGGTGCGCTTACTTGACTCACACAAAGACTAGCTCATTATACTTCTAAGCATCTTTTTGCATCAAAAAAGCAAAGCAGCCCTTTAATAGCAAGTTAAAAACTTCATGCCTCTGGTTATCCAGTCATCATCTTGGGTCACCAGCAACAGTATAACATTTCCAAATGCTCTATCAAAAGCTTTTGGAACTCTAACTAGCATTTTGCACCTCTAGTATGGCAATAAAACATCCAGGATGCAAAGCATTTACCTTGACCTAAAAAGTCAGCCTTACATCTCAAATCTTGTGAAGAAGAACAATTGGTATCTAATTAACACATATGTTTATATCACTTGGAATTAAATTACTTCTGGGGAAAAAAAAATCTGAAAGCATAAACTTAAAGAGTATAGACAAAACCGGTATCAATCTGGAGAACTATAGCTAAAATGAACCTTAGGGTTTTTTCCTTGACCTTGCATGATCTCTGCTCCACTGAATGGAACCAGTGTCAGTGAAAATACAGCATGGCCCTGTCTTCTACTTCCTCAAGAGTTTTTCAGCTAGAAGGGAAAGTAAATAAACTGAAATTATGTAGTAAAAGTGAGCAAGAGTTGTGAAAACAGCAAAAATTGAACAAAAAAAAGCCAATACAGCTTATGAAAACTGACTTTAAGCTTAACAGCTCAGATATTTGTCCAAGTATTAAATGCAAATGACATCTCAGTTAAAGCCTTATTTAAAACAAAAACCAATACACAAAGGCTTGCTCTTCTGTTATGTTAACTTTTAGCTTTGTCTAATAGTATTGCCCAAGAATAGCAGCATGTTTCTTCCACGATCCTTTCAGAAATCAAAATGTTGAAGAACTGTTGCCATATACAGGCTGGAATGCTGGCATTGGACTACACCCCCAACAGAAAGCCTAACACGGATGTCGTCTCCTGTCATCACAAAAACACACTTCCCCTTCTGTTACCAGGAGTGCTACACAATCTAACTTGCTTACTCACAGCCTTGAATGATACGTCTACAATCCATTGCAAATGCTGTAAAGTGACTCAAAAGGTACGAGATAGAATAAACCATCTTCCACTTTGATGTTTAGATTACTTGTTTCAGATCCTCTCAGTTTCTAGAAGATATCTCATTCCAGGCTTAACAATTCTAGCTCTTCGAATCAAACTCGACTTAATTCCTGATGCCAAAAGAAATCCCAATGATTTCAGAGAAACATCAACTTCCTTCAGACTTGGCAATAAATACAAATTGCATCAGACAGCACTCTTAAATCATTAGATCACCTACTTTGACAGTTGCTTTTCTTACACTGGAAGAAAACATCAAAAACCCTGAATAATTGAGAAGGGTATGTAGGAGCCCAGCAATTTCCAGATAAGTTATAATTTTCCTAGAAATTGGAGCAAGAAAAGTCTGCTGTGTCAAAACTGGTGTCAGGAAATCCTGTTTCTTCAGCAGCTTAACTTTTAAAGAAAAAGCGTCAGAATTATTTTGACAGTCCTTTTAACTTGGATGGTAACCAAATGCTCATGTTGTCTGAGAAAAAGAGTTGGAAGAAAGCTGGAATTCTAATTCCAGAAATAATGGATTACAGAAGCTTTTTATGTTATGTCCCAAAACATGCAAAAGGGGCACAACACAGAGGCAAAATAAGCAAATATATTGTGGACGTTTACAATGTGCAACTGTACTCTCTTGTTGCTTGGAGTATTGTAGGATATGGAATAAAATGTAGAGATCCATATTAATACTTCACCATCGGCTCATGAAGTCTGCCCCGAACCTGAGGTCACAACTCTATGTTCATGCACCGATTTCAAACTAGGGGGCACTCTGCATCTTCCACAATGGATAAAGTAATGAAGTCCCAATGTTTGTGCCAAATAAAAATCCCTCATGGTTTTTGTGATAAGGTATTAACCCTCTTGCCCTGACCGACTGTTGACCTCTGTTCGCTTGTAATCTGCTTCAGTTTTGAAGGACTACAGTAAGCGACCTCGCTTGTTCTGCACCTGCTGGTCAGTGGAACAGGGTGCCAGCTAACCAGTTCCAGATCAGTGGGAGAGATCTCTTTTGAATTAGATGTATTTATGTACCTTGGTTTAAAAAAAGAAAAAATCTAGGGTGACTGTGGAAAAACCCAATTACTTCTATGCTTTTAATTGCCTTAAAAGAGAGACACTATAAAATTCAGCTTTCCCAGAAGATTTCCATTTTACTGCTGCAACCCAAGATTAGGACATTTATGTAACAGAGCAACTTTAAAAGAATCTATAGTAAGTGTATTAAGTGGAATTAGTACTGTGTTAGAATTCACCTGAGCCACTGTACTTTGCAACATTTAGCCTTTATGAGTTCATAGGATTAAAACCAAATCTAAAAGAAAAGAAAGAGGCTTCTTAATCAGAAAAGGCTTGACAATTGCTACTTCTGTATTTCTCAGCAGACTCATCTCTTTAACAGTAAAAGAAAATATTTTGCATTTTAGACAATTTGAAGCTTCCTGCTTGATAAAACAAGTTTGATCTATGGAAGCTTCAGCGCATACCAGATCTTCAAACACAAACCCCGTACGAAGAGGTAGTGCTAAGAAAATGAACAACTAAATGGAGATTCCAGTCAAGAGACCATTGATGCCTTTTCACTTTGTTGGCATCACAAGCCCCTTTCTTATTGCAATAACTCAGTTAGCCTGAATTAACTGTGTAAGCTTAAATATTCAAACATTCAGCTACTCTTCAGGGCTAGCTAAGATTTCCTTCCTTCATGCATGCTTTGAATGAAAGAGAGAGCACAATTAAATGTATATTGTACTCTGCCCAAGATCTGTTCTATTCTCAATTTATGCAAGTAGACCACAGGCAAGTGCCACGTGGATTCCTGGTTGGGAACATAAAGCATGCAATAGAAAAAGAAGCTTACTAGTCCTGTACGGCTTGGCTTGCTGCTTACGGAAGATGCCACAGAACTGAGAGAGCTCAGGGAAGATGCACTCGGACTACGTTTCAGGGCTGTGGGAGTCGCAATCACTTTTCGCACAGTTGTCTTTGCTTTTGCTGGTGTGGTTGACGGGAATCCAATCTTTGTAACTTTGTGGACTGGAGCAAATAAACCATATTTTGGCTGACACTGAAAATACCTTTAAGAAAGCAAAGCAGACGTGAGTGTACTCAATTAACTTCTGTCTTTTCAGATACATGGTCTGGCTTCACAGAGAATTCTAGATCAATAGTCTAAAAGCATTAAAAGGACAGGGCAACAGCTGGTGAGAATCTAATCTAATCTATATTAGATAGCAATTTATTATTATTTTTTTTAACACTAGATCTGGAAAGAGGACTTTGAGAGGCTGAAACAGCATGATTATATCAGACTTCAGAAATTCAACAGGGTAAACTCTTGAGCTAGAGCTCTGTTTCCTAAAAATTCCATTCAGATTCAAAATTTAACATGTATAGCTTTCCTCTTTGATACATTCCTCTGAGCTGCCAAATGTGATAGCAGAGACTTAAAAATAAAAATCAGATTTTAATTAAATCAAGTAGTTTTATATTTTATTACATACATACATGCATATTTGATTACACAGAACATATATCTTTGGTTATATATATAAAAAAGCCACTTAAAATTTTAAATTGCGATCACCTATGTTAAGGTGGCGCAATCCTTGTAAAACCTTTTTAAAAAGAGTTAAAGGACTGTTCCTTATAACAAATGAAAGTGAAATTGTGATGTGAATTAATGCTTTCAAAGTGTGACTATTGGAGGAAGCAGCTATACTGTTCCCAATCTTTACAATGAGGCAACTATTGGTATAGGAGCTTTCAGTTTCTATGATGCAGGAAGATTTCCCTTAAGTTCAGCTATTAGATACCCAGGGGTATTTTCTTAACTGAGCATTCATTTCGCACTGAGAAACCAAGCAGACGTTCAAAAAGCAGGAAATTGTGTTTTCCATTAACAGTCTATGAATAAAACTCATATGGGAGTAGCAGAGATCAACTAATCCCATGAACGTGGGGTTGCTGCAGACTGTCAGAGATGTGTAGGCGTCATAAAATTCAAATCAGCGTCTAACAATCCCCCCACATCATCAGCAGTCGGGTTTATAGCCTAACTACTTCCCTTGATATAAAGTTTCATGTAAGATATTAAAAAAAAAACGAAAATAGAATATAGAGGTGCAAAATCTTTTAGGCAGCTGCTATCTGCTGATAGACTAACCTTGTTCCAGCAACAGCCCCATCATTCTTTCCCAGAGGTTCATCCAGTTCTACTCCACACCACTCTCCTTTAGCAAAGTCAGTTTCTCCCAAGAAACGCACAACTCCAGCTTTTGTTCCACCAACCTGCAGCAATAAGACACACAACTGCATTTAATACATCTCCAAATTCAAATATCAAATAGAGTGTAAAAAGCTTTCAGTATAATCGTGTTCACAAAGCACATTAATGACGCAAACAGTTCTTATTTCAAGCTGCATAGTCTTTTGCCTGTGAGTTTGTTTTAAGATGTTGAACAGATCTTCACAACCAAATTGTTTACAGAAGAAAAAAGAAAAAAAAAATAAACCCAATCAATTCCCTAGCATTTAGTTCCATCCAATTTGGTATTCAGGAAGTTTGTCATGATTGAACCTGATTCTATCAGATGACTCAATATGGCTGTAAGATTAAAAATACATTTAACAAGACTCAGTATAACCAGTGTACTGAATAGATTTGTACTATAGTTGCTCACAAATTTCTATCAGCAAAGAAGGATTTCTGAGCACTGCTTATTCCTTATTCTAATTCTGCAAGGAAAAATGAAACAAGAAGTCTTTCGTATTTTCTCTAAGGAATAGTTCAGATAAACTACATAGTACAACCCTCTTGCATTTAAAAGGACTGATATAAAGCAAAATGCTGTGCACTTAGCAACATTTTAGATGCACACAGCTATTTGAATTCTTAGGGAGGGGAAAATAATTTTAACTTTTCTTCACTTTTTTAAAGCAAAACCAAACAAACACTCCTAAATGGAAGATTAAAAATCAGTTGGTTTCAAACTTAAAATGTTAAACCTTTACAACCATTCCAATTACTTACAATGTCTGCAAGATACAGTTTTTCATAATGCCCAGGGGAGGGAAGAATTAAATTAAGCGAAGAAGCAAAAGGTGTTCAGCATGACTGACACTCGCCGAGAAGGGCCACAAGCCAGAACTGCAGGGTTCTTGCAGGTCAGAACGATAATATGCTGTGCCCTATTTGTGTGAAAACCTGTTCAGCCTGCATCTAGCATTATGAAAACAAGCAACTGTTAATGAAAACCTCTTCAAGAGATTCACTGGATTCAACACAGACATCTTCAGGGCCATTGCTTTTTTCACTTTTATTTTCCAACACACGTTATACAACAAGGAACATTTTGTAGCCTTAGCAGAGAGCTTGGATGTAACCTGCTAACACAAAGCCTGTAATTTTCCTTTCTACGTAGTAAGAAGTATATTAGGATTTCATATAACTTTTACATTAGACATTCTATTTCTTGGGGGGAACTTCCCAGGATAACTAGAGAACAACAAGCTTCTCGTGCCATAAATTAAGATGCACGATCACAGTACGCTAGATAGTTCATTTTAATACATTTGGGAAGTGTTAACACAAGAGGTTAACTGTGAGGAACCTAGGAATGGAGGACATTATCTTGCATGAATAACACAAAGTACTAAGTTAGTGCACAGTAGCTGCCACACACATTGATGCTGGAGCTATTGGCTCATCAACTTCCCAGAGCTGACAGCTCTGTTAGCAATGCAAGGCTTCGGCTGACAAGAAAAAAAAAATCCTAATCTACACTAACCTCAGAAAACCAAGGGAGAATAATTAATCCTTTTTGATATTACTAAAATGAGAAAACTGACAGAGACCTCTTTCGTCCATATTTAAGGTGGCAGTCCTCTTCTCCTCTCTTATTGGGGGCAGTCTTGAAACAACATTTAACCTGCAGATCACCTTGATATCTTGCTTTAAGTGGCACCGTAGCAAATTATTACTCTTCATGGAATAAAAATACACAAAGTTTACAGTTATCATGACTCAGCCTAATATAGTAACCAGTAGAACGTTTGGTATTTGGTGTTCCTGGCAGAGAACAGACAAACTTCCCCTCTCAAAAAACAAGCACGAGTACTGTCTTAGAAAAAAAGAATCATAACCAGCCAAAACAGTCCCATGGAATGCAGATCTCCTCTGTGGCAGAGTAGTGAAGAGGGAATATATAACATTTGTTAGAAGTATTTCCTGGGAAGAACTATCCCTTAACTCGACACATGTTATTCACTCTCAGACATAACCTACTTTTTCTAGAGGATAAATATCATTAACCCAAGTACAAACATAAAAATGAAATTTAACTGAGCAGTATGAGAGAAAAACACACATGTGGCCGTGCAATCCGTCCATGCTAGGTCTTCCAAGTTGTCCTTCTGCTTATTCCTTTTCTAGAAAGTTTGGGGAGGGCGGGTGTGTGTGTTGTTGGTGGGTTTTTTTTCTTTAACGATAAATTTGAAAGACATCTGTAGGTGAAAAGACTGGTTAGTTCTGTGCCCACAGTTTCCCTACTCGATTTTATACTGTTGTCTGCCTGAATAAACAGAGTTAAATCAAAGGAGGCTGTAAAAAACCCATTAAAGAAATTGGACAGGAAAGCTAGAACAATAGCCTAGATAAGGAGCATCCCTTCGAAGACAATAGTCAGGTTTGTGGTTGCACAGAGAGATTTCTCAGCTCCTCTTACAGAACTGTTTAGCCAGGTCAAGGAATTTTATTGCAGATTTGTGGAGTGGTGGGGGTCTTGGGCTGTTTTTGGTTTTTGTGGGGTTTTGTTTTGAATAAACAACGTAAGTCAATTACCAAAACACACCCATGCACAAAACAAAACAAACTTTTCATAGAAAGATAAACGGGGTACACAAGATAAGAGCTATCTGAAGCATGGTAGTGGAAAAAGGATAAGTAGATGCAAAGACTCACAGAGACGGAAAAAACTGTTCCCATCTGTTCCCTCAACTCGAACTGTAAATAAACCTCTAGATAAGTAATGTTAGCTCCAGGATAATGCACATTAAACTTGGGTGCAGAATATTCAGTCCTTTTATTTCCTACCTTGGCCATGTTCATCTTCCAAATTTAGGTAAAAAATGCATGGCATTTATTTTGAAGACACTGCATCCAAATCACAAACCAGGAGACACGATCCAGCTGAAAAGCTTTGGCAATGACCAGTGCCTGTTGGACCCGCTACAGCAACCACGGTGGATCTGCTTGGGACTGCAACCCAAGACCCGGTGGGAAAGAACAAATGGAGGAATTCATCTCCCGAGAACATATGGGGATGCACAACGTGAGATCCCCAGGAGAAACAGCGATGTGACTAGCTTTGTAACCATGGTACCAGGGTTATTTTAAAACAAGATGCAAGGAAGAATGCCAAAGAATTTTTGTTTTTTTCCAAATCTAGTCAAGCTTCTTTGAATAACTGGCTACTACATTTCTGCTTTCTGCAAATACCGCAATGTGTATCCTTACCAATAGTAGGAATCAGAGTACACTGTGGCAGTAAAGTGCTGGCTGACAGCATCAACAAAGGTCTATATATGCAGTTTTGCCCAGTTTCAAGCAAAAACCTTCTACAGTTTCAGCTTTAAAGACGGGGTCAGCATTGCTCTATAAAGCCTAAATCTATTGAAGACTTCCAATCATTCAGACAATATATCTATCTCCAGCTGCAATGAAGTACTTTGCATGTGACAACACACCTACCTTGAAAGCATTTAAGAAAATAATCACTTATTCCCTTGATACTGCAATGTGAGGTGCTACTGTACACCATGGTATAGTAAAGGCTTTTCTATGTGTAAATGTTGCTGTACATATACAGACTTATACATAGTGCTCTAAAGGGGAAAAAAGATTTAAGGAGTGATTACACTAAATTGTATATACCAATATAAAAAAAAATTACACTTACAGAATTACAGCATTTATTATAGAACTATAGAAAAGTTATACAAAATTTTGATTATAAGAATTAAAATGTAAAAAAATAACCAAACAAAAAAAACTAGTTGCATTTGCCAGCAAGCAAGCCCAATTTCTCAAAGAAACAGGCAAAAAAAAAGTTTACTAGAAAGTTTCTAAAAGTTATACAGAAAAATGGGGCATCACTACCACAAAGACAGTCTTCCATGACCTTCATTCACGCTAAGGCAGGTCACTAAATAATAGAGCAAAGAACTGCGAGACCTTTTTTTAGTCAGTTATCACACTCAATATAGTCAAGCTGAAAAACATAAAATGATAATATGCCAGAGAATCTAGGTTAGGCTATGGTCATTGTGGGGTGAAGAAATTTGCTTGGAATTCACTAGTGTTATGTCAAACACATGGGAAAATGATTAAATTCCATTGATCGAATTACAACTAAGCTTACATCAATTTGCTGCAATGTGAAGTGAAATAGCAAAATGAGTTTGTAAACCCAAAGCAGTTAAAAACTTCCTGATGAAAGCACATTGGGATGAGCACGTCAAACTGTGAGAACCTTAGTAGAGCTGCGTTTCCAAAGATAAGTAGAAGTAGGAAACAAATAAACCACTGTAATCCAGGGGAAAAAAAAAAGCAACAGTCTAAAAAGTGAGACTACTATTTAAACAGTGTTCATGAAAACACACAGATCTCTGAAAAGAGGAGAGTCACGGTCTGAAACTTTGTCAGTAAACCAGTATCACTCACTCAGGCCAGCTGAGCAGAGTTAAAAGGTGAACAACAATTGCTCTGTCTCCCCCTCTGCCTGAGCACTGGTTTACGGTGACTCTTTAAAAGCATCACTTGGGTATTTCTGTATTTGTCACATAGACCGGGCATTTTCAGAACCATTCAAACCACAGCATCCATAATATGCAACACTTGAAAAAGCAAAAAAACATCCAGACAAACAAATGACAACTTTGAAAAACCTGGGATCTATTAACCAGAATCTCCTTTCTCAAAATTTAGAGGAACCGTTTCCAGCTGGCAAAAGCAATGGTATTTAATTGATTTGTTTACCCATTCAAGGCCAGACAGAACCGTCTGGTCATCTCCTCTGGCCCTCCTGAAACAGGTCATTACATTTCACCCATTTACATCTGTAATTAACCCTGTAACTGTACTAAACTAAGCTGTATGTGTTGATGGAGCTGATATCCATCAGAAAACACACTTCCACTGACAGTCTATTTTCATAGTTAATCACTCCATTGTTAGAAACATATTTAAATTTGAAATAAAACAAATTTGACTGTGGCTTCTAGCCACTGAC